GAAACAATTGGTGACATGGCTCAAAATCGTTCTCAGTGGCGCAGATGCATCCACTCCCTGTGACTTATGATCTTCAATGAAACTGTTTTGTATTTCTTTATTACTCCTTTGTCTCACACCTCTGCTCACTGTTTCTATTATGCTTTTCTTGTACTTTCTTCTCTTGCTTCGCGTGCTACACGGAATGTGGCGACTTGAACTTCCGCACATTTGTGCAAAGTTCTATGTCGATAACAGACAGACAGACATTCACTTGTTGTCTGTAGACAAATGAACAGAAAGATACACATGTATTTTTAGAGGCGTGTACAATTCAACTTTTTGAAACTGGTCTCTCTGGTAGTCAAATCGAATTTATCATGGTAGTTATATTTATTAGCTGTTATAATTATTGGCATTTTTATGCCATGCTTCATTATTATTCCTGTTTTTTCCTTCACTTTCCCCAGTGGAACATAGGGCTACAAGCTAGTGGCTTGAAGTTTCTGTAGCAGTGTTTATTTTTACAGGATGGGTTGCTAGCCTCATGCCCAACCTTTCCTCTTTACCAGCATTATTTCTGGCTTAGTGAGGTAAAGGAGTGCGTCGGTGGCCGGGATCGAACCTTGGACCATGTGCATCGTCGGCGAGCGTCCTAACCACTGTACCATCGATGCCATTATTATTCCTGACTGATATAAAACTACCTTTGTGAGTACCCCATTATCTTAACTCGTCTTATTCAGTTTGTGATTCCTGAAATTTTCAAGTTCTCTCTCTCTCTTTCTGTCTCTCTTGGCCTGATAACGAATTATTTATTTAAGTGATCTAACTGAGCTGTAATGCAATAATACCTTAATTTTAATCTCTCACACTCCCTTCCCCCTAATATATACCTGAGATTGACCTGAAAAGCATTCGCACCTGTTGCTTTGTTTAGTGAATACATTGTAGCTTAATCTATTTATCAGGCATGTTGAGATGTGGTACATTGGCTTACACACTCGATTTTCAGTTAGTGGATTCCGGATGTGAGTCCCGTTGCATCTACTTTAGCCTGGATAATTGAGAGTAGTACCACTAGCCCCACCCGGTTAATAGGGCACATAGTCTAATACTAGGCAGTTGGGCTCTGTAAGTAAATTATGAGTTATATATCTCATATATATCTCAATGTACTTGTAGTAAGTAGCACATATATAATATAAAATGCCACTGTTTTTAAATTTTGGTTTGTAGGGATTTTGTTTGAGTTGTTGGGGATTTCATCATGAACTGACATCTGTTAGAGAAACATTGGAAAACCTTCGCTGGAGTACTGGACAGCTGTTTCTTCCTAGTTTTGGACTCCTCATCAGTATGCGTTTACTGGGATTTGAGCCCAGAATCTCCTGGTTACAAGGCTAACAAGCCGTTGGGACCTGATCCAATGGCCGGCCCATGAGTTCTAACTTCTACCAATTCATACAATGTAAAGAGTTCCAAACTAGGACGTAACATCTGTGAAATACTCCCAGGTTTTCCATTGGTTCTTTAACCGATGTCAGTTCATAATGAAATCCTTCAACGAATATATCACTGTATTTGGAGTATTCAGCTGAAGAGTTCTATGGAAGTTTTAATGAATCCACTAAATTAAATCCTTTTATTTTTTTTTATTTTTTGGTTACAGCTTGATTCCACACCGTATTTTTGGTACAAGTGTGGAATTTTCAGCGTGGATATCGGTAGCCCAAAATTCGCAGGCCAACCAAAGATACCAGGTGCGCGTCGGCGTGGGCTCGAACCCCGGACCATGTGCATGGTCGACGAGAGTCCTAACCACTGTGCCACCGACGCACAAGATTTACTGCCTATTTTCAATTCGTATGAGGAAATAAATGTTTGCAATATAAGCTTTGGCTTTAATTGCTTGTCTCCAGGGTGTGATGTAATGCAGGGGAAAATGTCACCTGTGTTTTTCTTCCTCTTTTACTTATTGAATTTTTCTCTTTTAATTTCACATTTCAGTTTTTACTGTTTTTTATTACCTTGTTTATAGCTGTTTTTATGGTGTTGTATGATGTATGCAATTTTACACTGTTAGGCATGTCTGTATTTGTATTAATACGTTGTTAGTGGATTTAATGGGTGTTGAATGGTTGAGAAGAAGTCCTCTACTCGGATTCCCTTCTTGTGTGTACTCGTCAGTAAGGCGCATATTTATAAGCCTAAAGGAACTAGTGAACTCGCGTCACCCAGTGCTGCTGTCGGAGACGTTGTCACTGATTGATGCTGGCTAACTAATTTTCTTCCTGTAGGACTGTAATACGATGCATCGGTTGGTCACCAATGTGTAACTATTGTCGTGCATCTAGTCCTCGGTGTCAGTGCAGACTGAATTGTATCAGTCAAGTTTGCAATGTGTTCACCAAACTTGGTAACTCATCAACACTCACTGTACATTCTGAAATAATATTGGATCGTTGGGTCAAGGCATATCTGGATCTAGATGTCGTTCCTGTTAGCAATCGTTAGCAAGGCGTGTCTACAACCTTGAAGAAACTGATATTCCTTCTTCGCTCCCAATTTAGATGTTTATTGAAGGTGAAATGTAATTGTAGGTTGGGCAGGATTCGATCCCACCGAGCGATGCTGGGGACATCACTCGTACCAAATTCCCACGAAACTTCATGAACTCTCTTACAAATTGCCGCGCCTGGGCAGCGATGATTCGAGACGTTCATGAAGCCGGCTCATCCTCCCGTAGGAGATAGCCGAAGTAAAGTAAAAGTAAGTACCTCCTTTCCGCCTTGAAATTAGCAGCACTGATGCGATACCAGCTGATCTACTGCTTTCAATTGCCAAGCTAGTCATCATATTCACTGTAGTCAGCTTCAGGTATTTTAGAAACGATAGGACGAATAACGGGATTGTATTCACCCCACTGTTTATTCATCTCATTGTATTATGATGTCATAAGATCTTGATATAATGTCTGGTTTATTGTGAAAATAGTCATTTAGCTTAAGTTTATTCTATCCGGATTCTACATCAAATAGGATCTTGTATGGAGGCTTGTATGTATGTGTGTGCGTGTCGTGTTGTGTATATGTGTGAATAGCTAAGCAATATGTCGGATACTATTTTGTATATATTAAAGACTTCTTCATCAGACCTGTTCAATAAGAGTGTTTGTTTTTGAATTATCCGTGTATTTTAATTGGCAATTATTGCAATATGCTGCGCTTTTGGTTTTGTCTCTTCGATAAACATATGCATGTAAATTAGGGAAAATATACTTATTACCCAGTCAACGTTTTTTCTCTTCATTTTGTCTGAACACTTGTCGTCTAAACACTGGTTCCCTTTTTTTCCGTGATAAGAGAAGCATGAAAAAAGGTGGGTGGCTGGTTTGGGGCGTGGAGGGGCTTTGACTTCCGATTTCAATTCCTGTCACTAGGCTATGTATGTTTCTCTCTCTCTCTCTCTCTCTGTACGTGTTGGGGAATGTGTATGGCATAACTCAGTTCTACAGGTCATTGTGTTTTCCTTTTTTATATCTGAAAGTTGACCACACCTAAAAATGTAAGATAATTTTGTCAAGCTATTGGATTACATAAGATTAAGAATCTGTTCAAAGGCTACAGTACAATCAGTAGTCTCTTATGTGTTTGAATTGATATAGCAGTATAAAGCGTTGCATGAGAGTGGAATCTAGTAGGTGCTCATTTCATCCTATTTTTGGGACTCATTGGTTGGATGTATCTACGCCCTTCAGTGGATGGTGATGTTCATCCTGAGACTCTAACCCAGCCAGTACGCATTGTCGTAATTTATTGGCCTATGATGTTTCACAAAGGAATAGAATCATAAATGGAAGAGATTTAACGGTTCACACATCTGAATTATATATATATACTTCCATTATATTTGCTGACATGCCTTCCTGGTGATGAGCGCCAGCGTACACGAAACGCAAGTTCAGTGGTTTCTACCGATTTCATCCAACCACCGAACATCAATCTGATTAGATTTGGAAAGCGTATTTTTAAAGAAATTGATATTCGTAGCCTAATATTCAACCTTTTGTTCATATGACTTATTGTTTCATCGCTTGATTTTTCTGATCTATGTATTTGTTGATTGTATATATTCATCTGAATGCTAACTGTCCTTTTAGGTATTCCTTAGCATTATTAGTGATATCTCCAAGTTAGTGTACTTGTGTCCATCAAATTTTAGTATGCATTGTAAGGGTTGTCTAGAAAGACAACGAAAGCTCCTCAACGAAACCACCCACCTTAGAGAAGCACTTACGTGTATTAATATTCATCCATCTGAGCTACAGTCACCTAGATCATGAACTTCTCCTTGTTTGGATTACTTGACCTACAATCGATTAATTCCTAATTCTAAATTTTCCGTCTTCTGTACCTCCATATACACAGGGTATATTTCATAGTTTATTTCCCAAGCAACTTAAGTGGTCCAGCGGTGGAATGTCCGCCAACTTTGCAGACACTCGGTCCTGGGTTCTGTCCTCGGCCAACGCACTTCTAAACCTCGCCTAATTGGTAGTAAGCTTGTTATGGTGTGGAGGGGGGGGTTGGCACGAGACTAGCGACCCCATGCTATAAAAAGCATCGTCACTGCTGAGACTTTAGAGCTCAAGCTTGAAGACATATGTCCCACTTAGAAAGTTAAAGAACGCGAAAAAAATTTCCCAAATAAGGTTATATTGGTGAGTGGCTTAGTGGGTAACCCTTTGGAGAAATGGTTCATTGGTCTAAACACTCGACTTTCAGTGAATGAACCCTGTCTTCGAATCCTACTCCACCATTTTTAGCCCCTAGCCCCATAACCTTGTAACTGAGTTCTTACAAACACAAGCAATAAGATCTGAATTTACCTCATGTTCTACTGGACTCGGATATTTATGTCACTAGAATTTTTCAAACTCTAATCTATCGTTTATCATTAAAAAATTCTCTAAATTAATTTTGTCTACCTCATCCCTATTTTTAAATCCCTTATTACAGGTTATGCCTGATAGTATGTCTTCTCATACTCATGCTGGTGTCGGCGACTCTGTTAGTCTATTTGAAAATCCTGAAGGTTCAATTAGTGGAGAATCAGGTTCATCAGACAGACCAGTACAAAATTCAGTTCTGGACTCAATCAATGTTGGTATGTTCTGTTCTGCTATGATTATCATCATTATTAATACTGTTATTATAATTTTACTTTTATTGTATCAAATAAGTACTAATTGTCTATTTCTCATTATATGTATATTGAAATGCATTAATGTAATTAATATTTATTGTCTATTTCACCAAGCAGTATTGACATATTTTGGCGACATTTATGTGATTTGTATGCCTGAGTATAATACTGACATTGGTCTTCAGCTTCATTTTCAATATTTAACAGTAAATGAATGTTATAATTGAGAATAATAATAATATCAGGGATTTGAGATCGTTGTGAGTTAGTAGCTCTGAGAGTCTGTCTATAGAGGTGGTGGATAGTAGAACGATGTTGAAATGCAATAAGGTGGTGGCAATCCTAACTGCGAATACAATGCTTCTCTCCAGTAGTAAAGCTCGTAAAGACGGAAGGTTGGCGCGAGGGAGGGGGGTCATGAGACTATCAAGTCCACTCCTTAAAACCATCACCCCTATTGAATCTTCAATTCTCCTGTTTGAAGGCCTATGTTTTACTAGGAGGATCTCAAAGGAATGGAATGTTTGTGTTAATAGTGTGTGTATGTGTTTGTTTGCGATGGGGGGTTATTAAGGAAGACAGTTTTATTCCCTCCATAGTAGGCAATTCCCAAAACCCATTTCAGCGTATCCACTGAAGACGTCACTCAAATTATCTTCATTCATTTGTTTTGTTCTTTTACGTTCCGAGTGGAACGTCGTAGGGCTTCAAGCTCTTAGCTTTGAAGTTTCAGTAGCGATGGTTTTAATTTTTATGAGTAAGGTTGCTAGCCTCAAACACAACCCTCTACCTTTATCGGTCTTATTACCGTCTAAGTGGGGTTCTAAGATTGCTTTGGCTGGAGTCGAACTTCAGACTGCATGTGTTGTCGGCGAGCATTCTACCACTGCACGACAAATACATGCACACAGTTATATGATATGCTACCAACCTAAGAGAACTCAGCACAAATAGTTAAAACGTAGGTATAAACTAACAGAATCAAATTCCCGCTTATCGCAAGTTAATGAATGAGTGATTTATAATTTACCCAGTTCAACGTGAAATCTCAGAACGCAGTTTCCCGTGGAAACTGAAATCATGTGGATCATAATATGTGCTTGCTAGCAGCATTGGACTTTTGGAATCCAATGTCCAAGTATCTAGACTCAAAATTCTGCTGTTGGTTTGAATTGAATCGGATTAAGTATGCATCTGATTAACTGCACTTCAAACGAGCGAAACGGCTATCCGCTAGTGTTCAGATTATTTCGATTTGACTGGCTGGCTAGCGAGCACACTATTGGTTGATGTTAATACTACCCAACTACTCATATCAATCAGTCAGTAGTATATATATCAGTCTAGACTGATACAGTTCTTTCGGGAAGTATCACATAATGGAATTCGTATCACTGTAGCGCATTTCGTATGGCTATGGTGTGCTCACTTTATTATAGTAGCTGATTGGTTAGCGAGCTCACCTCTCGTTATGTGATGGTTTAGAAGTGTTGTGCACATTTTGAACAGTCTTAAACCAGTATGAATCAGTTATTGGAAATACAAATTTTGACACATTATAGGCACAATCCTTCAGTTCTCTTAGCTGCTTTCCATGTTCTTTGGAAAGTACGTTGCGAAAGCTGAGCTTTTTGTTGATGTAGTCGAGACAGCAATTTAAAACGGTTGATTTGAAAAGGTCTGTATTTTCAATTGAGGTTGGGACCAGATCTTTCGTCTGGTCGATTAAATTCTCGAATCAGACTTTCGTGTTCAGTTTATTCACTTTTGACGTTGCATCACAAAACTTAGATCCAAGCGCTAAAATTTGCATTTGAATTGGAGATGGTGGAACATCACAATAATTGAACACGTATTTTTCTGGACAAGTAGGAAAGACGGTTTCTTTGAGTTTTTAAGTCAGTCTTTTCTGTCCGCAAGAAATCTGTATAGTTCCCTATTTTTACCTTGGCCTTTAAAGAGGAGATAGGGCGAGGATAGAACTTTCCATTTAATTTTTCGTCTTATATATATATATATATATATATATATATATATATATATATATACACTAAATCTATCCTTTTCCCTTGTTATTCATGATTATTATGATTACTATTATTATTATTATTATGGACAGTTTCCGGTATCATTTCATTCGTCCCATTTTCATTGCAATACTAAATATCAAACTCTGTCTCATGAAGTTCTTCGCTATGTTGCGTAATGTTGTTATTTGCTTTCTAATCCTATTGGTTTTATACTCCTTAACAAGATGTATACATCCTCTAGACTGTTTTATGTATTACATAACCCGTTTTTTAAAATTAAAATAAATAATACAGGAAGGGGTCGCTTTTCAAGTTTGACGACGGCTTGATGTCAGTTAGATTTTTTTTCCTTCACGTTCCCCAGTGGAACATAGGGCCTCAAGCTAGTGGCTTGAAGTTTCTTTAGCAGTGTTTATTTTATAGGATGAGGTTGCTAGCCTCATGCCCAACCTTTTCTCTTTACCAGCATTATTTCTGGCTTAGAGAGGTAAAGGAGTGCGTCGGTGGCTGGGGATCGAACCCCAAACCATGTGCATGGTCGGCGAGCGCCCTAACCGCTATGCCACCGACGCCAATGTCAGTTAGATAACTATTGAAAATCAGCACTGAAGGATTTGTAAGTTACGGGATTGATATGTATGTGTGTTTTGTTTTTGACAGTCTGTTATATTTTGCTATGTGTATATGGATCGATATTCCATTGTAACTGACAATATGCTTTTGTCTTTCCATTAACTAAATAAACAATGTATGACCTTTTTATCACATGACATTGCAACCAATCAGAATCCAATGATGGTAAGTTAAACTACTATCTGTCTTATTGGTTCATGTGTATTAGTCATTTTTATATATACTTTTGTATCGTACACTTTTGGATACATTTGTTCACACATTTCGTACACTACGTACCCTTTCACTCTCACATTTGTGGGACAGTCATTTTTTCCCCTTGTTTGGAAAATACAAGTATCATCGTGAACGAGGTGGTCTTCTGATTTTCCTCTTTCCGCGTCAGGACTATTAACCACTCAGCAGTACATAACAGGGAAATAGTTTCTTAACCTCATCTACTTCAATGGCGTTGATCGCGAAGTAATTTGGAAACTACTTCAACACTACGATGTGCAGTGTCCAAGTATTTATTTGTCAACCTCATTATCAAACAGCTGGCTGTGCGACAATGCCAAATATCGGATGATCCAATACAAAAAACTCAGCTAAGCCTTCTGTTGAAGAGAATTACAGTAGTAGACAAGGCTGACTGCCTATTATCACCGATAATGGACCCGATTATGAGTCAGACTGTGCGTTGGGATGGAGAAGGCAGGAATACGCTGGACCACCACCAACTTGAAGACTTACACGTGAAAAGCAACAAACAGGCTGTAGAGGCAGACAGTGAAGACAGAACTCCAGATGAACATGGAGAAGACGAAGGTGTAGAGATAACCAACAGCAACCAGTACCAGTCACCATCAAAGCGAGATATTTAACAGAGGTTACCTTCTTCACTTATTTAGGAAGCATCGTTTCAACCACAGCTGACGGGATAGATGGAGATTTCAAAGTCAGAATCGGAAAGGTAAGATACACCTTCGTCAACCTGAAACTAGTTTTGTAATCTTCTCCACTCACTCAGCATAAACAACAAGATTCGGATTTTCAGCACAAACGTCAAGTCAATCAGTTCTTCTATACAGGTCGGAAACTTGTACTGCACGTCACAAAAACCATTTCCAACAGGCTACTGCAGACTTTTGTCAACAGATGCCAACTTCGCTGGCTCTATGCTGAAGACTAAATAGCCGGCGAGAAAGAGTTAGTAGCAAGAAACTCTGTCTGTGAACAAACCAATCAAGAGTCGATTGTAGGAGAAAATGGAGATGGATCCGATATACATTGAGGAGGCCGTCGAATGAAATTGCGCACAGTGTAGGCCACTGCTCGAGTGGAATCCAAATGGGAAACGACTAGTGGATTGTTAGTGCGAGAGTGACATGGAGGAGATGAGAGACTACAGTCAATTGTGGACCCAGCTGAAGAGGACGGTAGAAATTAGTAGAAAACGGAGATGTGTTGTTGAAGCCTTATATTTACACTAGGAACCGAAGGGAATGATTATATATATATATATATATATATATATATATATATATATATAGTAAATACACTGATGATAAACGAGTCACTCGTCTGCGAAAAGTGTTTTGCCTTCTTAATGTGTTAAAATGGGAATTTAATTAAATCATTAGAAAATTTACACTCACACTCACACACGCATATTTATGTTTTGTTTATTGTCTTAGGTTTTCAATTATTCTCGAAGTTAATGATTAGTGGGTATAATTAACATCTTTGTACAGGACATGAATTGAGAATACTTAAAAATGTCACTGTTTTTCTAGATTATCAAGTTAACTCTTAAAAGGGTGTTTCATTAATCATACTTCACTAATTGTATTTATTAGTGTGATTGTGTGTTGTGTGTGTGTGCATATGTATGTCTGTTTTACATTAGTTTTTAAAAGTCTTCAAGACACTTAGTTATAGGCAGCCACGTAGAGGAGAGGTGTAAACTCCTCTGGCTGAAGTCCTTGAGATGCTGAAAAAAAATCAATAGTTAGAGATTATTACTGACATGACTCAAAATTTTTCTTAGTGTTGTAGGTGGGAATTCAGTTTTTATGAACATTTAGATCTATCAAATTCTCATTATTCTTTGTGATATGGTTCAAAATCCCTTGCCTATGGGTTAGATGCATTCACTTATTTGGGAAGTACCATCAGCCAGTGCCAACGGGTTGACGAAATTTCTGCACGGATACAGAAGGCTAGTTTCGCATATGCCAGTTTACGCCGTCTCTGGCGTAGACGTGATATCCGACTATCGACCAAAGGGCGGGTGTACTGCTCATCAGTCCGTTCCGT